AATAAATTTTGTTTTGATTGTCTTTTTGCAGAACTCTTCATATTTTGAGTCTTTCCCTAAAGTTTATTTTAGTTTTCTTCTTTATTTGTTTAAGGATGGAACTTTTTATGGTTATTTTTTGAAATGAAACTGAGGTCTTTTTTTGCTGGTGAAAAAACTTATTAAATTACAATCCTATGATAGAACCTTGTGTATCAGTCTAGCCGAACATCATTCACGCAAGATTAGGTCACCTAGAAATGATTCAACTTCTAGTCTTCCCAGCTTAATAATCTACTTGTATGAAAGTCTGAATGGTGTCTTGTGCAAGTCTATTGAGCACACCGCCTCAAAGTTATCACTGTTGTACACACCCATGAATAGTACGATATGATTATCTTTGCTCCTAATTGCACTAACCTTCACATTGACTGGCATCCATGCCATCAGCGCACTCACACGAAATCTGCAGAGAGCCATCACCTGGTATCCTTACCGACAACCTTCACTTTCAGAGCAGTCATCTGATCATGGCCTCAAGGTTAGACTCTGCTGAGAATCAGCAATGTTGTACCGCCTTTTTTGGTTTCCTGGCCTGGTGGGGCAGCTTCTGTTAGGTGCTGRTAGGACCTCGTGGGAGGTATCAAGTGTATTTCATTTTTCTGGTGTATAAATAATAGATGATAATTATATTAGATATAGGAGAGTGCTTCTAACTAGCGATGGGTTCTCAGTTTATTTTGATCAAAAATCTTCAAACCAACAGCCAATACCATTTTTTTTAAATTCAATAAAAATGAGGCAAAAATAAAAAATAATTTTGTTTTAAATTTGTTTTACTGAGAACCCTTGACTAGTTTTAACAGACTGCGTTGTATATAATTTGATATTTAGGTAATTTTGAGAAAGATTAATCTGCATATGGTTTAGTGAGACACTCTCCTATATCTAATATCTGAGGCTAGAGGACTGGTAATCAAAAGTATTTTCTTGGTCATGTTAAATAAACAATTGATATAAAAAAATCTATAGTAATAGTATTTGATATTTTGAGCTTTCTTATAAGTATTCTTTTTTTTTTTTCAGGTGAAAAATTAATCTAAATCTTAATCCTATTAAATCATGCAAGCAATTCAAATATTATCTCATGGTTTCGAGTACTTTTTAAAAATCAATTACTTATACCACAATATGTAGTTTAAAAATAAAACAAAAGTGTTAAGTTTTTTACTGCCATTGCAGTGTGCTGAAAACAGTTTTTGAATCAAGATGGTTTCAATCGTAAATGATGAACAAAGTATTCCTACAAAAGTACATGTGAAATAAACTTTATTGCAGGACTCAAAATAGCAGCTAGCATGATAGCACAAATTTATTGACCACAGGCAGATGAAGATAATTTTGAAATGAAATAAAGTAATAGATGGAATTTTAGTGGACAAATGTAATTGTATTTGATGGACAAACATTTTGCTATTTTGATTCCTGCATATAACCAGTCCTCTAGCCAAGAACATTATTCTTTATAGTTTTCCAAACTTTCCCAAATTTGTTTTGAATTCCCTTAGTTTTTCTTTGAACTTATCATACTCCTAGGCCTAGGTAAACTTATATAGTTCTTTTAACTTCTTTTGAAAAAGGTATTTTTCTCCCTAAGTTATCCTAAATATGTTTTTTCACCCAGGCCTAGGTAATTCCTATCTTTTTCTTAATATTTTGTTTTGTTTCAAAATTCTAGGTAATGACAGGGTTTGTAATTTTGAGGAAATTCTAACCTTTTTGCAAAATGCTTAGGTAATACTAGATATTTTGATCCCTCAATAATTCTTATTAAAATCATAATTTTTCGTAATTCGTAATTTTTTCCCTGGAATAAGTTATGTTACTCAATCTGATGGCATGATATCCTTTATCCTTGGTGGATGACTCTTGTCTTCAGTACTGAATAACTGGATCTTAATGGTGCTGCATCATCTGACAAGGCTTTGCAGCACAACAGCGTGGTATAACCTGGGCTAAAGACAAAGAAAGATAGTCAAAATCTGTCTCATGTTTGTCTCATGAAATGTAAATGTAGTTGTAATGTAGGTAGTAAATGTAGTTCGCTTTTGTCATTCACTACCTATCACCCTCCCCCTGGAGATATTAGACTAGGTTCCAATCCTCATTCAGCCAAATTGACCATAGCAAAACCACAAATAGGGATAAAGGGAAATAGAGAGACTACTTGCAGCCTATACTCTAACATATCTAATAGCTCAACTTACTTGTCTGTAATATATGGATTGAACCAGAGCTTGACAGCATCACAACACAATTGACTGACACTTGCTCTAATATCTGGTAAGCTGATGGAAAAAGGAATAGATATGTTTAGACCACAGGTATAGATTATATATATCATGTGTATTTGATTATATATACTAGAGTACAAACACTATAAGTGTGTAACATAAATACCACTAAATACTGCTAAATTATGCTAATCCTATTGTTTTCTATTGTTTAATTAGCACTATTTACTGCTAAATAGTGCAAAGTGTTGTGCACTTTTAGTGTTTGTACTCTAAACACTGGATATAGTATATTAAAATTAATACTTTAGTGGGTGATAATGTTTTAGTCATTTATGAAATATTTTACACCTTGGGAACAGAGCTTGGATGTACTGAATTGTTGTTTACCCTACTATACTACAGAAGTCTGACACAAATATTATAGTTATTGTGCTAAACACAGACCTTTAATGTACAGGGCCCAGTTTTTCAAAGCCCGATTAGTGCTAATCCTGGATTAGCTCTTAATAAGGCCTATAGAGTTAATCCTGGATTAGCGCTAATCCAGCTTTGAACAACCCGGCCCAGTACTGTACTCTGCTGTAGCCTACTATACTACTATAGGTTTGAAACACATTTCAGTCATTGTACTCAACACTGAACTTTAATGTACAATACTGTTGTAATTAATTATATACAGCAAAATTAAAGATTCACATACCTGATAATCAGTGATGATCTATTCCTTGAAACATTGTAAAGGATTCATCTAGGAGCAACACCCTTTACCACAGGGTTACCAATATGGTTTAAACACCTTGATGATCAGGTCAATACTCATACAGCAAAAAGGTGAGTGCATTTTGTTATAAAGGTCAAAGGGTCATCTCCAGGTTAACACATTAATTATCATCTTGATATTTTTGATACTCATACAGCAACAAGGTGAGTCCATACTCTTATGAAGGTCACAGGGTCATCACCAGGTTAACATATCATTAATCAGGTCACAATACTCGTACATTTACAAGTCCTAAGTGTTATCAAAGTCTTTTTGTTTCTCGTTTCAGTGCAGAGAATCCATTATAAACGATTGATACTGAACTTTTCCATGGATAGCTTGCTGGTTGGCGTGTATATACTGGTTAGAGAGAAGGTGCAGTATGGCTATCAGGCTCAGATGTCAGGTATCAACAGCCGCCATCTTGTTACGGGCTCACTGGACAGTTTTATGGAATGTTTTTCGTGTATTCTGTATTTTTATAACTGAAAAGCAAAAACACACAGTCATTAGAACACTTTTCACGATTATTTCTGTTCTAACGAGGAAGAGGTGCTTTGAAATCAAGTTTCATGTAACGTTGAAAACCAAATTCTTCAAATAAGTAAAAAACTGAAAATATACACGAGCTAAGCTTACAAAATGTTCAAAACTTTCTAAAATCGGACATTTACGATGAATTTAATTGTTTCTGGTCAGAAGAAGTTGAATGTTCAGGATTTAAAGTTAACACGTGTAATGGCGGACGAAACCGACGAGTCGAACATTCGAAATCTACAAACTCCCCAAAAAATACAGAAAAACGCAAAAAACGCTAAAATAATGTAATACTTCTTACCTTTCATTGCTCTCGTGTACTTTTCTCTCTGTTAGGTCGAGCACGAGCTAATAACCATCTTTGTTCTTGTACAATTTCAGCTAAAAGAACCATCGTGTATTTGCACCCGTTGAAACACATCCACAACCAACAGCAGCGTGCGGCAAATGAAGAGGTGACATGCACAGTGCCTGGATACTAGCATTTTACACAGGGATCCCGCTAAAATATAAACTTTTAGGCAAGAAAATTACGAAAATTTGAAGGTTTTCGGGCATTATTTTTTGCTCAAAACCTAGAAATTGAGTAAAACAAGCTATCGTAGTACTCTATAGATGGTAAAAACCCAGAAAAAGGCCATTTTTGGSCTAAAAAACATAATATGTTAATTAGTCACGTGACAAGTCACGTGGTTTCTTATTTTTGTGTTTTTTTAGTCGATTTTACATTTTTGGCAAACAAAAAATCGTTTTGGGGGTTCAGTTAGTTTCATTGTAWTCGATGATTCATTTGATAAAGCAGTTTACGATAAAAGACCATTGAACCTTTATTGTCTGATGTGTTCTCTTTGTCCCTTTATTCTTGGACACCCATCAAAACAGAAAACGAGAAAAATAAAACAACAGTTGAAAATCACTTTCATCATTGAGACACCCGACCAAGAATAAAATACACCCAGAGACAATGAAAACAAAGACTCAGATTTCAAGACGCAAGCAGCGTCAACATTTTTTTATTACACTTTAAACTACATGAACTTTATTAAGGCCCCGTCCACACGTATCCGGAAATTTTTGTATCCGCAAATTTATTTTTACGGATACAGGTTGCGTCCTCGCGTGTCCGCAAATTTTTGTGTCCGTATCCTCAAATTTTACGAAAATGGATACGTGTGGACGGTGAAAACGATTCGAATACGCTGCGTGTGGACGCGAACATTTTCGTATCCGCAAAAAATAATTGCGGATACAAAAATTTCCGGATACGTGTGGACGTGGCCTAACTCATGTTACTTTAATTGCTCCCTCGCGCGCGCCTGTTTTGAGTTCACTTTTTGGAGTAAGTTCCATGATCAACGGTCCAAACATTTAACCCAAAATTTAGCCAACATTTGGTTGGGATTGTTTGTCATGGTTGGGTCAAAATATTTGTAGAAACGTTGGCTAAATAATTAGTCAAAAGTTGGGCCGTTTGTCAGGGCCTTCGAAACTGTATGAACTCTTGTTTAGGCTTCGCTAATTTGCGCGACCGTTTTCAGTTTACTTCTTGGAGCAAAACAATACGGATCGTTTCTTTGATAAGTTATGCGCATAAATATTTCAGTTTGAATAGGAGTTTTTAAGCGTAGAATAAAACAACTGCCCGAGGGAATAACACGTGACTAAAACGAACAGCGCCTAAAGTAATCAAATACATGACGTCACTTTTGTGTGATTATGGTTGAAACCCGTGCAATGTTTGTTATTGGTATGGAGAGAAAAGAAACCAAAAGAAGTGCCACGGGTTCCTAAAAATMTAGCACTTTGAAAATGTTTTTTAGATTTTAAGTGTATTCATTCACGCGGTGTTATATTTTCGTCAGGTCGTTCCCTCGAGAGTCACTTAGTCTTTTCATATAAACAACATTCTTTCTTTTGAAACACAAAGAGGCAAGCCTCAAAGAATCTAACACCTTAATATGCAAATGCTCTTATTGAGCTTCCCGCTTTTTTTATCAAGTTATTCTCTTGAGTAATACTTCTTTGTTTCTTGTTGACGGTCAGGGTGTTAATGGAATATTGTACAGCCACTCATCTTTTCTCGGAAGAATGTGTGATAATGCTTTTGTTTTTAGTCCACGTGTATATGAATGTGTGTGTGGAGGGAGGGGCGTGGGGGTGTGGGGTAATGGAAAGATACACTGAATAATGAACTACAACTTTTTATTGTCTTAAAACATCTTTATTTCATAATAAAAATTCAATTTTAAAAACTGTTTATTTTCAAATTAATACCACAAGTATTTTCTGTATTTTAAAAATATATTTTATCAACAACAGCACAAAGCAGTTTTCTTTCCTTTCACAATTTCATCTTTTCGTTTACCTCTTTTCCTCACTTGTTCCTTGTCGTTTCACTGCTTCTTTTTCCCCAGTCCACTTTTCCCATTTCTATTCGTATTTTAATCCTTTGTCAATTTCTTTCTCCGTTATGCTTTGTATTGCCATTTTTTTCGTTTCTTTCATCCTCCTTCACAATTCATTTATCATATTACGAATTGTGTTCCGTCAAGCAAATTTTTCTCGGAAATCAATTCCGAGCCTAACGAGATTTGCTGAACGAAACACAAGTTACACATTTTTCCCCCTCACTTCTTCCTTGTCGTTTCACTCGTTTCACACTTTTTCCTTGAATAATTTAATTATTTTTCCTTCTTTTCTTTTTCCACTTTTCCCATTTCTATTCGTGTTTTAATCCTTCAA